GTTATATTCCTGTTTACCTAAATGTTACTACCAGACAGTAGGCAGTTTGTTTCATGTAGATGTGTAAAAATATGTGTAAAATACAAACACATTAGTATTTACAGACACTGATTCTTAATTAAAGTTCAAGTACTTGTAGTCTCACAATTATCCACATTTTATTGTAAATCAGGCTTATCATCATGAAATGCTATACTTCTCACTATAGAGAATGATTACATTTTGTGGAGAATATCTGTAATAACTGAATATATTTACAGCGTGTAGTCTTACCTTGGCTTCCTCCTGTGTTTGGGGAAAAGTGATGTTTGGTTCAAATGTGAAAGGACTTTAAACACCACAAGATGGGCTGTGGTCAAATGGAATTGCGACACCCTTTTTACTTATCATGAATGATTGCATAAGCCTGTGTGTGTGGTGATTGTTGGAGGGGTATGCAGATACTGTATGTAAACCATTTGTTGTTGTTGTTGTTGTTGTTGTTGTTGTTGTTGTTGTTGTTGTTTTAGTCCAAGACAATTGCATGTTTAAGAAATATTTTAAACATGCAATTACACAGCTAATGCTGATTAACATTAAAATATGAGCAGTTAAATAATCACACTTGTGTGAACAATATCTTTGTATTTCTGGGTTGCAGATGACATAGTATCAATGTCACAAAATGCAGACAGGAGGCAGGGAGTAAATGCAGCCCTGTTTCCTTCTGTGAATTCAGCGCAGTGTTGCCAGATGGGAAATGTTGAATTATTGTATCAGCAGCTCAATTTTTTTTTTTTTTGGTTTTTAAATACAATTATTGCACACACCCAATTTGCATTCTAAATAGACTCAGAATTACAAGCACATCCTGCCACAGCTCCCAAGTAAACTGCATCCTAAAACCTGCATGTTATTTTGTTTATAATAAAATTAAAAACACTATATCTGTCTGTTCAGTAAAGAAATAGTGATCATATGTAATTTTTTTCTTTAAAAAAAAAGCTTTATTGTAAGCAAGAACAAAGTACAAAAAAACAAAACAAAACAAAACAAAACAAAAAAATAAACAGGAAGCCAGGGGGAATGTTGCACATAAAAATAAATATTTAATAAAATGACATTAATAAAATGCAAAGCAATAAAACAAGTCAAGTTAAAATGAAAACAGGAAAAGAACAAGTCATTGTAGTTTATTGTGCTTCTGATTAGTGGAGAAACAAATTGAGTGCATATACATGTGAATTCAACCTGCTAGCTTCCAAAATCTAAAATTCAACTACCGGCCAGGTAGATAAAACTTTATAAAAATGCAGATCATGAATTTGTCTGCACTGGCATCATAAAATTCCCATTTGTGTGTTAATCCACCTGTGTTTTCTTTCATTSTTTTACTGCTTACATGTGCTAATTCCATGCAATTATTCACTTTTATTTTCTATTTTACAACTTCAGATAATGATTATTACATGTTTTGTTTTATATTATTTTTTATTTTTTCTGTTTTTTGCCCTSTCTTATTTTTATTTTACTATTGGATGTTGTTTTGTTTTTACTGTTTGATGGGACTACATACTAGTCTTAGGCTAAATCTGGTGCAATGCATCAACTTATGTTTTAATTGTGCACTGTCCCGATCATAACATATCATCATATCATATCGTATCGCATCGCATCGCATCGCATCACATCACATCATATCATATCATATCATATATAATTTCATATCATATCATATCATATCATATATCATATCATATGATATCATATGATATCATATGATATCATATCATATCATATCATAGCATATCATATCATATCATAGCATATCATATCATATCATATCATTTCATATCATATCATTTCATATCATATCATTTCATATCATATCATATCATATCATATCACATCATATCATATTAATTTTGTGATAATAACAAATAAGAAATTTCATGTGTTTAGGATAATGTCATTATGACATGTGAGGTTCTTTATAAAACATTGCACAAACTACAAATAGAAGTGAAGTGAAACATTTTCAATAGTTAAGAATCCATCAAGTGAATACATTTATCACTATAGGGCTGCAATAATTRACAAAACAACAGTGTTCCTCTTTAACTTGACTTACTTCTGATTTGCTTAACATTAATTACAAAACAGTTTAAACATACCTGAAGATTATAAAACATTTACTTAGAAAAATGTTGCAATACTTACAATGACAGAGGCATTGAGACTTTGTTGTTTAGAAGTGATTAGAGCAGCATTCTATGATGATGAGAACCAGTAAAAGCATAAGTAAAACAAATAGTTCACTTTTTTGTCTAAAAGGGGTTGTAAAATGAGTCTCAATGCACTCAGATTGTGTTTGCTGCAAAACTTGCTGTGAACAAATATAGAGTTTTTGCCAAGTGTTAAAAGGAACTTTAAAGAAAATTATCTCCGCATTTGCTGAAGATCTTTCAAATGCAAAGCCAAACAAACTCCACCGTGAGTGGCCAGACATCTATCCTCACCAATCACAACATATAGATTAGCGAGGGCCTCAGTTTAAGTAATGAGTGAAGAGTGCTAAAGAGCTACTTGCAATCGAGAGGCAATGATCTTTCCTTCCAAACAGGATGTTGAACTCCATAAATCAAACAATTAAAAAGACAAGATGATATATATATATA